GAATTTTTTCTCTGGTGCTGTTTTGCGGTGTTAGTAAATTCACCACTTAATTTTGAGTTAAAATATGTTGTTGTAACGTGCGTTACTGAGATTGTAACGAGTAATAATATTACTCAAATTTTATTAGTAATGCGTTATATTACTGCGTTACGGCAAAAAGTAATATACTACTGTGATATTGTTACTTTTGTAATGCGTTACTCCCAACACTGTCAGTAAGTAGTTACCTTGGTGATGCAGTGATGCAGTCCACACCTGCATTTCATCCGCTGACACAACAGAGCAGAAGTAAGTATGATCAGAGATGTTGCCTATCACACTGATACTGCTCTCGATGGTGAACAGGCCCTTTGAGTCTGACGTTTTCCGAGTGAAGTTCTGGAGACTTCTGGTGTCAGTAGGGGGATCAGTGGCCCACGTGACCTCAGGAGCTGGATAGATGTTCTGGGACAGACAGATGAGCCGTTCCTCAACCATCTCAAGCTTCACAAACTGGATCAGAGCTGAGCGTGACAGAAGATGCACCACATAAAATTATCAAAACGTAAGATTATCTAAATTATCTAAACATAGGTTTATACTAAATGAATACTGTTTTTGTGCATTACCTCTAAATAGCATTAAATAATTTGTGATTAATATAATTTTTTTTTACAATAACAGAGCATATTTTAATATTTTATCATGTATAAAAATATGTATAAAATATTTATATATGCTTTGTTAATGTTATCAATTTGATATAAAACAATAAACAAACCTGGACAAAATGTGTAACGTAGCTATATATTTTCGTGTACTCTATGAAGTCTAATTTTTACAGTATAAAAATATTTTAAAATTTGTATAAAATATTTATCTATGGTTTGTTGTTGTTGTTAACACTTTTTCGTGCTTAAAACCAATAAACAAAGCTGAAGTAAAATGTGTAAAAAAAAAAAAAGTTTACAATATTAAAATAAACACCACTTGCAAAAAAAAGTATATTTGAAAAATATATATATTACTTTTATTAATTTCTATAACCTTCTATTAAATTAATACTGTTTTGTGTCTCGTTCATCAGTAGAATAAAATACTTTATGAATAATCTCATTTGTTTATTATTACCAGAATGAAACAGTACACTCTAAAAAATGCTGGGTTGCTTCAACCCAACTTTGGGTCAAATATGGACTAACCCAACTTTTGGG